TGAACGGGCTTGGACTCGGCCTTGTTTCAGTGTTGAAGGCACTTGGACTTGGTCTTGTCTCGGTCTTGAAGGCGCTCAGACTCGATCTTGTCTCGGTTTCAAGGTCTGACACTCGACGAGTCATAAATGGAGATATATTTATAAAAACATTGATATATATGATCTAAAGTAACTGTAAAATACAAATAAATGTAGAAAATGACAACGCTCGTCTCGGTCTCGACTCTCTGAGGTCTCGGGACCCTGTGGTCTTGGTGCAGTCTTGACTACAACACTAATATACACACTCACTTTCTCATTGAGTGTTTTTTTTGTTTTTGTTTTTGTTATATATGTTTAAGTATGAAGAAGTACTCAATTTAGTTCATTTCTAGCTCCTATATTACACAAACTCGACTCTTCTGAGCTCATAACAAACAGACCTGGAGTTGTGTTTCGTTTCATTCACACATTTAACACGCAAACTCTACGCATTTAGGCTGAGTTCTTAAGCTAAGACCAGGTAAAGGAAGACCAACCGATAAAAATGAGTCTTAAGAAGTGACTTACATGTTATTACTTTGTCTGTAGTTTTCCAGAATATGATGTTTAACTTATATAAGATGCATTTATTCGATTCTGGGTGTTTTCATTGCTAAAATATACTTTCAAAAACACCTTCTGACTGTCAGTGGGGTCACCTCTTGTTTGCGTAATCCTTTATTATTAGTCTGTACATCTCCAAAGCTCAAAAAATCATCCAAACGATTCTAGTGAAGGTGTATGGAGTTTAAAAACAGAGTGGAGCCCTTCATGTATTACCACGTCATCACTACGTTCAGACTGCAGGGTTTAATACTCAATTGGGATTTTTTTGTGAATTCTGATTTTTTGTGATGTCGAGCACATGTCCAAGTGTTCTGGGTCGCATTTGAAAAAAAAATCAGATCTGTGTTGTTCGGGACTGTCATCAAAAGATCAGATACAGGAGCAAAGAAGCCAAAAACTTTGGATTTGGGTCACTTCAGGCTGCGGTCTGAACACAGCCCGAGTGTTTTCCGTTTGTTAAACATGTGTGAATGAAACAAAACACAACTCCAGGTCTGTTTGCGGTGAGGAAACAACATTCTAACATCGATCAGAAAGTTTGGACGCACCTTCTCATTCAATTTCATGCTTCTTTTTTTACTTAGCGACATAATTCTGTCCATTTTTCTTCATATATTTGATGTTTTCTGCGTGTATTTCAAATGTAGAAAGTAGTAAACATACAGAAAAGAGCAAAAAAACACAAGAGGGTGAGTCCAAACCTTCGCCCGGGCTTGTATATCAGTATTTTGCTCTCTAACATGGCAGTGGTACAGAGCAGTGAGCGAACCCGCGGTGGAAAAGTCCCTGGAGAGTTGGAGTGGGCTAACAAGCATGAGCCACTCACACCATTACACGCCAGCAGCACAAAAAGCATCATTAGGGGGGATCTGCACCGGGCCCTGCTGGAGCTGCTGCTGCTGCTGCTGCCTTTTGGGTCAAACAAACACACAATGGAAGGCTCATTGTTCTGGAGAGAGAGGAGGTCGTTTAAAAAGGATTTCCTCGTGCAAAAAGATGGTGTGTTAACTCGGCGAAAACTGCAACGAAACCTGATTTGAGTGGAAAGACAGAAATTGGAAAAAGGAAAAACTGAAAAATGGGAAGCAGCTTTGGCTACAATCCTGCATATTTACAAGTGTATGTGTTGTTTCTTTTGCATTATCTTGTTTTTTAATGCATCAGCCCGTGAATAAACAAATATAAATACAAAAAAGCATTTTTTTTTCTTAGTTTACCACTTTCAAAACTGAAGAAATCAAATATACGAAGCAAGAGATTTGGATTTATTTAGAAAATTAAAAAAACGCAAATAACTGAACTATTATATATATATATGTTATATTCAAATCCTCAAAGTTTCCACATTTCACAGCTGTGCCTCGAGGTCAATATATAATTTTATTTATTTATTTATTTATTTTTTAATCAAAGACCAGTTTTGAGTTATTTTGAGTTGATTTTTTGATTATTATTGGATAGTGAAAGTAGATCCTGGCACGAGTGTTGGCTCATTAGGAAAATTTCGATGTCTTTTTATACAAAATAATATCTGAATTGTATTAGTACTGACATCTGTTTAAATGAGTAGTAGTACTAGTTTTTGTATTTAACTTTTTCTATTTGTATGTTTTTAACAATAGAACGAGAGACCAAACCACTAGACACAGATTCAGGATTTCTCCAGAATAATACAAGTGTGTGAATTGAGGGTGAAAAGTGGGGACTCCCACTAGTAACTGAACAAGCAGTGACAAGAGTACCATTGGTTTAGTTTTTTGTTTTAGTTTTTTGTCAATAGCTTTCTTTCCTAAAACCCCCAAATCTAAAAATACTTGAGAATTAGCATGTACCTGAATTCTATTATCCTTCCTTCTTTCTCAAACGAGACAGTGAAATCCATCCGAGTTAGTAACTGAAAAGTGGGGACTGCCATTCATCCAAATTTTAGAACTGATTACTGAATGAGCAGTGATGAGAGTACCATTGATTTAGTTTTTTTGTTTATGAATACCTTTTGGATATCCCCAAATCCGTATATATAGGTATGAAACGGTTAGAAATGAAAATGAAAAACTACAAATATAAACACAACAAGATTTTGCATGGACCTGAATTCTATTATCCTCCCTTCTCAAACGAGACAGTAAAATCCATCCCAGTTTGTACTGGAAACGCTTGACGATACACACAGTTATAAGAAAAAAGTGGGGTGAAAAGTGGGGACTGCCATTCAGCAAATTTTTAGAGCTGGTTACTGAACAAACAGTGGTGAGAATACCATTGATTTAGTATTTTGTTTTTTAGCAATAGCTATCCAATGCCCCAAAATGCGTACATAAACGTATAAAATGGTTAGAAACAAAAATGAAACAAATGCTTAAAGCTACACGGAGCTATAAGAAAAAAAGTGGAGTCAAAAGTGGGGACTGCTGTTCGGCAAATTTTTAGAGCTGGTTACAGAACAAACAGTGCTATTGATTTAGTTTTTTTGCTTTTTAGCAGTACTTTTCGGACATCCCAAAACCCGTATATAAACGTATAAAATGGTTAGAAATGAAAATGACAATCTAAAAATATTAACATACTTTAAAATTTGCATGGATGTTAATTAAGAAAAATGTGAGGTGAAAAGTAGGGACTTCAGCCAAATTTTAGAGCTGGTTACTGAAGAGTAGCATTGATTTTGTTTTTTAGCAATGCTTTCTGATGTCCCAAAACCCGTAGATAAACATATAAAATGGTTAGAAATGAAAATGTCAAACCAAAAATATAAAAATACTTGAAAATTTGCATGGACCTGAATTCTATTATCCTTACTACTTAAACAAGACACTAAAATCCATTCGAGTTAGTAAAGGAAACGCTTAAAAATACACAAAGCTATAAGAAAAACGTGAAGTGAAAAGTGGGGACTGCCACTCTGCAAAATTCTAGACCTGGTTATTGAACATTGATTTTGTTTTGTTTTTTTGGTTAGTTTTGTTTTTAGCAATGCGTCCTTAAGTCCCAAAATCCGTACATAAACGTATAAAATGTTTAGAAACGAAAACACTTTTGCATGGACCTGAATTCTATTATCCTTCCTTCCTTCTTTCTTAAACGAGACACTAAAATCCATTCGAGTTCATAACAAAAACACTTAAAAATACACACAGCTATAAGAAAAACGTGAGGTGAAAAGTGGGGACCATCCCTAAGTAAAATTTTAGAGATGGTTATTGAACATTGATTTAGTTTAGTTTTTTTTGTTAGTTTTTTTAGCAATGCTTTTTGATGTCCCATGACCCGTTCATAAACGTATAAAATGTTTTGAAACAAAAACACTTTTGCATGGACCTGAATTCTATTATCCTTCCTTCTTTTTTAAACGAGACACTAAAATCCATTCCAGTTCGTAACGGAAACGCTTAAAGATACACACAGCTATAAGAAAAACGTGAAGTGAAAAGTGGGGACCAACCCTCAGCAAAATTTTAGAGATGGTTATTGAACATTGATTTAGTTTTTGTTTGTTTTTTTGTTAGTTTAGTTTTTTTTAGCAATGCGTCCTTAAGTCCCAAAATCCGTACATAAACGTATAAAATGTTTAGAAACGAAAACACTTTAGCATGGACCTGAATTCTATTATCCTTCCTTCTTTCTTAAACGAGACACTAAAATCCATTCGAGTTCGTAACGGAAACGCTTAAAGAATACACACAGCTATAAGAAAAACGTGAGGTGAAAAGTGGGGACTGCCACTCTACAAAATTCTAGACCCTGGTTATTGAACATTGATTTTGTTTTGTTTTTTGATAGTTTGTTTTTAGCAATGCTTTCTGATGTCCCATGACCAGTACATAAACGTATAAAATGTTTAGAAATGAAAACAACTTTTGCATGGACCTGAATTCTATTATCCTTCTTTCTTTCTTAAACAAGACACTAAAATGCATTCAAGTTCGTAACGGAAACGCTTAAGAATACACACAGTTATAAGAAAAACTTGGAAGTGAAAAGTGGGGACCATCCCTAAGTAGAATTTTAGAGATGGTTATTGAACATTGATTTTGTTTTTTTTTTGTTAGTTTTTTTTTTTTTAGCAATGCTTTCTGAAGTCCTAAATCCGTACATAAACGTATAAAATGTTTAGAAACGAAAACACTTTTGCGTGGACCTGAATTCTATTATCCTTCCTTCTTTCTTTCTTAAACGAGACAGTGAAATCCATCCCAGTTAGTAATGGAAACGCTTAAAGCTACACAGAGCTGCAAGAAAAATAACCTTTCCTCTTCACAATCCGCTGCGTCGGAGTGATAGAAGAGACAGTTTGCTGCTTAATAATTAAACGTCCTTGGATTGACAGATGAGGGGGGGGGTGTCGTTACGGGCGTCGCGGCCGGTGCGACATTAGGACCTCATTCGTCTCGGGGTGATGTTTTGAGTCTTACCTCTTGGCGGAGCTGCCCCAGGCCCCGTGTTTGTCCGTGAGGATGTTGACGATCTTCTGGATGAGCTGCGTGGAGGTCACGTGGTCGCGGTATTTGGCGGCGCGGATCAGGTGGTCGCACATTTTCTCCTCCTCGCGCTTTCTCGGCCGAGTACTGGGCGCAGTGGGACTGAAAAGAGAAAGTGAAAGTGAAAGAGTTAAGGGTGAGAGTTTAAAATGTACAAATAATGGGCTGATCTGAAAATGGTATTGGTAAATATTCTGCACATCTGTAATGAAAAGTACTCAGACCAGTGTAGACAGTATTAATATGTTTTACTACTACTACTACTAGTGCTGCTACCGCTACTACTGTTACTACTGCTACTACTACCACTACCACTACCGCTAGTCCTACTACTACCACTACTACTACTACCCTTATTACTACTACTACTGCTGCTGCTAGTACTACTACAGCTACGAGTGCTACTACTGCTACTGCTAGTCCTACTGCTACTACCCTACTACTACTACAACTACTACTACTACTTACTACCACTACTACTACTACTACTACTACTACGCTACTACTACTACTACTACTACTACCTACTACACTACTACTACTACTACTACTACTACACTACCACTACTACTACTACTACTACTACTACTCTACTACTACTACTACTACTACTACTACTACTACTACCACCCTACTACTACTACTACTACTACCTACTACTACTACTACTACTACTACTACTACTACCACCTACTACTACTACTACTACTACTACTACTACTACCTACTACTACTACTACCTACCTACTACTACTACTACTACTACTTACTACCCACCCCTACTACTACTACTACCACCCTACTACCCTACTACTACTACTACCACCTACTACTACCACTACTACTACTACTACTACTACTACCTACTACCACTACTACTACTACTACTACCCCTACTACTACTACTACTACACCACCTACTACCACTACCTACTACTACTACCACTACTACTACTACTACTACCACCCCTACTACCCCTACTACCCTACTACTACTACTACTACTACTACTACTACTACTACTACTACTACTACTACTACTACTACTACTACCACCTACTACTACTACTACTACTACTACTACTACTACTACCCCTACTACTACTACTACCACCCTACTACTACTACTACTACTACTACCCTACTACTACTACTACCCTACTACTACCTACTACCCTACTACTACTACTACTACTACTACTACTACTACTACTACTACTACTACTACTACTACTACTACTACTACTACTACTACTACTACTACTACTACTACTACTACTACTACTACTACTACTACTACTACTACTACTCTACTACTACTACTACTACCCTACTACTACTACTACTACTACTACTACTACTACTACTACTACTACTACTACTAGTAATAATAATGCTTCTATGGCGTTAAACTGCGCAGAAACAAAGTGAAGTGTTTTTGTGAATGAGTTTCTCAGACGTGACGAGACACAAACAGGAGGAAGCACAGACACAAGCTGCAGCTCGTCCACCGCAGAAACTCAAACACGAGCCCGAGCCAAATGAAAAGGGTCATTTCAGTCGCGGTGTCACGGTGATTAATAACAGTGGACACGTATGCGCTAATGCCCCGCGGCACACGAATCACACGATACCCACAATGCACTGGGAGCACATTTTTCTCTGTCCAAATATGTTATCGGAATGAGCCTTTGAACTCCACAGAGAAGGCCAAAGTAAAACACCTTCTGAGGGGACGGCTTTAATTTAAAACAGCATGTGGATTTCCATATCGCTTTCAAACGCACCACGCTTTTCTCCAGTTTAAGGTGAGAAACTAAACACGTCTTCAATCTTCGGGTTTTGTTGTCTTTTTTTTTTTTTTTTTTTTTGCGTTCTAACATGTTATAATGTTTCCTCATCGAAAACATGTCTGAAGAGGTTTGATGTTGATGTCATCCGTGCATGTTTGAGTAATCTTGTGATCTCTCCCAGGCCCGATTCAAACCCTCCTTAAGGTTAGCTGTAAGATTCCGTACGAGGCTCCGCCCACAAGCTTACACCATCCATGCTCCCGAACGACAATTCTACATGAATATACAAAAACATGACACAAAACAGTGCACTACAACTTAACTTTTTTCATTAGCAAAATGCATGCTGATTGTGTTGTCATAGTGCCCTGAAGGGGGAGTGACTTAACATGGGGAGCAAAACAAGGAGAAGCAAAAACCAAAGTGAAATTTATAAAACACGTTAAAACGTTTTCAAGAATATGAAAGGTGACATGGTGACCTAATTATGTTTTAATGGTATATGTTATATGTATGTTCTATAATAAATATGTAATGTTATATAACAGCACAATTTACACAGAAGAAACACATTTTTCCAATATGATTTTATATATATATATATATATATATATATACACATACATACATACATACATATA